CAAATTATGGGGTCTCGGAGAAGTAAGAAGGATCCGCTCTCACTTATAACTGAGGTTTTTTTCAAAAAAACTCGTCTCTTCGGCGATCATAGCATCTCGAACCTCCGAAACTACTGTATCGATAATGTGAGAGACTGCTGCCTCCCATCCAAGCAAGCTAGCTTTACCATCATATTCGGTATTACAACAAAGCGTTAAAATCTATGAAAAGCTTCTTTGCTTATAATTGACATTTGCATGAGCCCATTCTCGCTTTGGTGAAAAAATGTCAATACGTTATCATGTTATATCTATGAAACTCAAGTGTGCATTAGTAAAACAAAGTTTGCAACTAATTATGAAGTTTTGACGGTGAAAATACGTTGATTTTTGCGCACGCGAACACTTTGTTTTGTGCCAGATTTATTGATCTACCTAAGAAAATCGGTTAAGCTACGCTGAATTTTACCCTATTACTCAATTAATTGCTTCGGAATTGTTGAGATCACAAAATCGATCGATATTTCACCCTATAAGGTTGGAGCTAGACCGTCAAATGCCGCGGCGATGTAGATAGGCGGGCTGTGAATCGATAATTTCTTTATCGTCTGGCGCACTCCGCGTCTCTCATCGACTACGGTAGGTCGCCGCCCCGCGCCGCAGCCTACACACACGCTTTTACCAGCAACTCGCAGTCCTCTCTTGCCAATGCTATTTCCTTTGAAATTTTGCTCTATTCTACTATCTGTGAGTGCTACATAGTCCTTTAGTCGAATTATTGTCGTATATTTGTGAATTTGCGAGAAATTTCTGTGAGAAATTCGTTTGCCGGGTGTTGTTCGGCGATGATGGTGGCGCGGGGCGTTTCTCTGTGTCTCGCGTCGATTGCGTGCGACCGGCGCGTCTCTCGCCATTTGGCTAGCCACTCTCTGCGCCTCTCGCCACGCATTCATCCCCGATGTGCTTGGAGTAGTTCGTCGTCGTCGATCATCGTCATCTAATATCGTTTGAAATGACTGGGAAGGCCTTAAGGCGTTTGAGTTGAACGTTCTGAAGTAATCATTAGAACTGTTTTAAGCACGATTGCGGAAGATATGGGGTTCTCAGAGTTGTTTTAGTAAAGTGACTTTTTCAGATTCACAAATATAACCTTAAAAACTGTAGTCTTAGACTTAGTGTGAACGATCAAAGTCTGTGTAGAGACTGTTTCGAAATCGACCATTGCTACCCTATGACATCATCGCCATTGAGACCTCTCCTTATCACGTGATTCTCCGAAGTCTCAAAAATCATCAAAAACAATAACAATTCCAATTCAGGA